TGAGAGTCATCAATAACCTTTTTATCTTTAAAATTGGTATCAACTTTTAATTCTTAAATTCTTAGTTTTATCTATAGATTCTTTAGTATTTTCTACCTACACAATCCTGTTGCTGTTATTAATGACTCTCATTTCTTCCTAATTCTTTTTCTTTTATTTTTTTTCTTGCCTTATTGTAGAATCAGTAGGGCAACTTACTGCTCATACTATTGATCTGTGAATTTATTGATTATTTTTTCAGCTAGCATGAATTTATTTAGCACTTAGTTTGTCTCCTTTAAAGACACCCATATCTAACTTTCTATTTTATTTAATAGTGAACTGAATTCAAAGCTGCAAGATACTTTAGAACAAATTGAGGTAAGAAGGATTGTATCAGAAGTTAATTGGCTTTTTCTTTTTAGAGGTTTTTAAATAGCATAGATACATCTTATGTTTTGACTTTTATGTTATTACCAGTGCTTCTAGATCACTATGCTGTATTTGTTGTTTTTCATTTGGAAAATCTGTGCATGGTCAAGTTAATGTTAATCTACTTGTAAATGCAGTAATGCTTTTGGAATTACGGTATCTGAAAACAGTATTTGAAAATATCACCATATCCAGAAAGATCCCCAAACTTTTAGTCATAGGTATGTTATCATGTAAATTATAACCAAAGTGCTTACCATGTGAATTATTTTTTGATTATCAACTATTACTTTTTAGTTTAGTGAGTAAATTTATTTAAGAATAATTATTGGCTGATGAAAACACTTCTAAATTCCTAACCTCATAATAATATTTTATACAATTCATCAGAAAGGAAAAGATATGTCATTGTTAGTATGGAGTCTTGCTTTCCCTCCTACATTTATTCAGAGTTTCTTTCTTTCGTTGGCAATCTTTATAAAGCAGGATATTCATTTTTATAAATTTAATAAGAATTATTTGGTTTTCTTGTATTTTATTGTTGTTCTGATAAAATTGAGGCTGGACTTTCAAATGACCTTTTCTGAAAGTAGCTTTTTTATCATAAATGCAATTATTTACTAATTGTAAGAATGACTGTTTGATAAACATAAAGATAACTACTTTGAAAATCCTTTAAGTAAATAATCACCTCAATATTTTAATGAGGATCTTCTTATGAAAGCTCTGTATTTATTCACTCTTAATATGCAATAGTTTCTGTATGTATGTAGAAAAGTCATTTTAAAATGAAATAGAAATCCATAAATAAAGTTGTATTTAGATATAAAAGTAAGGTATGTATTTTAAGGTCAATGTAGTTTTGTTGAGAATTACTTTTCAGTGATTACAATAGGATTGTTTTATTATTTTTTAATAGTCCTACAAATTCAATTCATATAATTGTAGGATTTTAGTAGGTGTTTGAGGAAACCGAGATAAGTAAAAATAAAAACCTAAAATTTCTTTTGTAGCTATTATACTGATTTTGTGTCTCTTGAAACACTAGACATGCTTTTTTAGAAACATCTTAATAACATCTCAGTAAAACGTGATTATAGTTGGTAACAAATGAGAATTAAAATTTATTTATATTTTTATTTAAATTTGTTTTTGATTGTTAAGTGTTATAGTAAATTGGTTTAGATAGTAATTAAAAGTGAGAAATTAGTCTCAATATTTTTTCATTGCCTTGAAAACATAATTCTTTAACCACCCCTTGCCTCCTCTTTTAATTACATAGGAACAGTTGGATGTGGCTCTTTCTAAAATCTGCAAGAATTTTGACATTAATCATTATACCAAAGTTCAACAAGCCTATCGACTTCTTGGAAAAACACAGGTTAGTTTTGAAAGGTTGTTTGCTTTCTAAAAAATCAGAAATCTGTTAATATTCATGATTTCTTAAGTCTGAATATTATTAGTATAATGTCCTTAAAGTTTCTTTAACAAAGTAAATTTTTTAGCTGTATTCACAGTAGTATCATGTTGTTCACATAGGCTCAGAGTATATATAGTGTGATTAAAACATTACAGAAATGTTTTGACCTTTGAACTGGTTGTCAGGTTTAATATTTTCACAATTTTATGTAGGTTTTAAAACAAGTATATTATAAGGTGATTCAATGGGAGAGGGTTTGTAGTCTTTTTTACTTCACCTTTTGGCCCTGAAGGAGAACTTCTTAATTTGGAGCTTCATGATTCCTAGATAGGCCTGCATGGCTCCCTCAGAGTGGTGTGTTGACTTTCATGCACTGTGCACATTTGTTGGTAAAACAGGTAAGCTACATTTATTAGATTTTTTTCAAAGGATTCCCTTATCCCCACAATGTCCTTAGTACTGCCTAGATGCTTGGCTTTATATTTACTACTCAGTGGTGTCCTTGAAAAACTTGAAAAAGGGGCCGTGGTTGGAAAGTTAATTTTACCTTCTGTGTGTATAGTATTATACAGTATCTACAGAACATCTAAACACAATAGTTGTGTTTTCTTCCATTAAATGGTCTTTTGCCTTAGAAAGAAAATTAAGACTTTACCAAATCATTTAAACTGTTTACATTTTAAAATCTGAGTAAAGAAATTTGTATTTTTTAATTTACTTTATTAATTTTCATATCTTAAGCTATATCTACAAAAAAATATAAGAAAGAAGACACTTGGTAACTTTAAGGGACATGTTGAAAGACTTTTGAAAATATGATTATAACTTCTAATTTTCTCCATTAAAGAAATTCTTCATTGGTTAAATATATATTGGTACCTACTTTGTGCATTGCTTCAGGCACCTGAATATAGACCTTCATGTATCTTACCTTCTAGTTAAGGAGACAGACATTAAAGAAATAAAAGAATATAATGTCAGGTGATAGCAATTTCTATAAAGAATATCTATCAGGGTAAGTGGATAGGGTGATGTAAAGTACTGATATATATAAGATGGCCAGGAAAGGCTTCTCTGAGAAGGTGACCATTGAGAAGCATCCTGAACTCTGTAAGGGAATGAGAGCAGAGGGGATCCAAAAGCATGATTATGCCAGACATATTCAAGTGAACAGAATGGCTACAGTCATAAATACAGACCAACAGAGCAGTTTCATGATTCAGATTTATCTTCAGTTGTATGATGTTGTGGTTATTTGCAGATAATCAACATTACAATTATAATTCTGTATATAATAGTTATCTTTGTGCTATAGCTATAATCGGTAAAGATTTTCAAATCTGTTGAAATTTATTCATTTTAATAACAAAAAAATTATGTTATATATTTTCTTTTCCATAGACAGCAATGGATCAACTTCATATGCACTTCACTCAAGCCATTCATAATACTGTGTTCCAAGTTGTTCTTGGTTATGTGGAACTATGTGCAGGAAACACAGATACAAAATTCCAAAAGCTGCAATATAAGGATCTCTGTACAGTATGTAGCAACTTAATTGCTTTTCATATGTCTCTCTTAGTTTTTAAATTCACATCCCACTTTTCTTAGCACCTTTTATTTGAAGATGCTACTAAAATAGAAACAAATATGATTGCCAAAAGATTTTTTCTCCTATATTCTTTTCCTTATAGAGCAACTGGAAGATTCAGTCACAGTCACACAGAGGGTGAAAGTTGATGAGACAGTACAGATTTGCGGAGTGCAGTAGCTTCTAAATGGACTTTCCACCCTCTCATAGCTTCTTTACTGTCTTTCTCAGGCTCCTAATTCTATTCTCTGATTGTGTCTGAGGTGCTTCTAAGCAATCATCTTTGCTGTTTTTTTCATACACATTTCAATTCAGTCTTTTCGAGTAAATAAATGCTGTTTCTGTCAGCATCTGTTACCAGTTTTGGGGTTTTTTAAATCTTTTTATTCTTAAAGAAACAGATCTATAGGTGAGAAGTGAACTGAACTGGGCTTTGTTTTAGAATTGGTTCTACTGTGGATCGATGTGGTGTGAGGAAAAGAGAATGATGAACTCTCGAGAATGGTGGTGTCATTTGCTTTTACAAGGAAGACTGGTCTGTAGTGGAAATTCACGAATTCTGTTTGATATCTACTAATATTCAAGTGGACTTGTTGCAGAGACACTTGGATAAAAGAATCTAAGGAGGTCAGAGTTGACATTCTAGATTTGGGAGTCATTAGCATCGAGTTGAATTTAAAGCCATGATGCTAGATAAGAAGATTGGGGGAGTGGATATAGATATAGAAGACATGAGATCCCCTGGGCCTTGTGACATTCAGGGCAGAAGAGACCAATAAGAGGCTGAGAAAAAGCAGCTTGCTGAGTAGGAAAAAAGCAAGAGGTGGTGGTGTCACAGTAGCCCACAGAAGGAAGTGATTCAAGAAGAATGGACTGTAAATCTCTCTCAGATGCTTCTGAGAGTCTGAATAAGGTGGTACCACAGAACTGACCACTTGATTTGACACTGGGGGTGGTCATTGTTCATGTTGGTCTCTAATTCTAGCCCAAGGTTTCTCACTGGAAACTTTCATAAGTTTTCTCTAATATCACCTCAGGAAATAACAGTTCTGGGAAGTAGGTATCAATTCTCTACTGTAATTATGTTCAGGAATTCATGTGAAATTAAGCTTATCTTTATTCTCCAACTAATTAGCTTAGGAGGGGAAAAGTGGAGGGAACCCTGAGAAGTTTAATAAATAAGTTGACAAAAGGAAATTTAAACATGTTTTCCTGATGAGAACACATATCCAGGATCTAGAATGGCACAACTCATGCCAGGGAGATAATTCAGGAAGGAACCTTGTATTAGAATGTAAGGTTCTTAATTTTTCAGCATGTGGCAATGGGAGTCATTTTCGTTCTGATTAGCAGTAACTGATAATAATTATTGTGGTCGTACTAGGGTGAGAGTGTATGTGGCTATGGAGTGTCAGGTAAGAAAGAAGCAGCAGAGCCCTCAGGAAATATGGATAGGGCAACGATTTTGAAGCTTTGTCATCTCATGGTACATGCAAACTCATTACTACAGTTCTGCGGCACACCAAAAAATACCTTTTTGCCAATCTGACAAAGAAAAAATAGGTATAATTTTGATTCATTCACACTGGACAGCTATTGTTATGTTGACTGTTGTCATTTTTTTATTGGATAGTCTAAAGAGGTCTGTGCCCCTGAATGAACAGTCAAGTATTGCATGTTTCAAAAATTCTTGCAGCACACCGGTTGAAAATCACTGCTATAGGGTGCTGACTGGGAGATTTTAGAAGTGAGAAGAAACAGCCAAGGCATTTAGTAGGTCTTCTCTGTACCATGGCGATATTTTGAAGGAAGTCCTTGATTGTAGATAGTTTAAATATAACATTAAAAATGAAATAATTGAGATGATACACTGATTGGAGTTGACAAAGGGATGGAGTTCCTGTAAATGAAACAACTGACTTTCCTTCAAGTGGAGAGAGTCATCTTCGTGCTCTTATTCATGGTATTCATTTAAACCATTGCCAATACCAGCCTATTACTATATGGACTAGTATAAAATTGAACTGATTTTTATATCCTTTTATAAAGAAGTCGGGGGCAAGATTTGTGTTGTTTTTATTTACTCTGGTAAGCAGAGCACTTCAAAGATCTTAAAGCCGGCAGCATTCTGTCCCGTTATGAAATTTCTGCCATTTGTGTCCTGTCACTGTTGCTCTGAGTTTAAACATTTAGTTGGCTTTGAGCTTTTTGAAGCCATTTTGCAAATGAATGTCCTTATTTTCCTTTCTTTACTAAACCATGTTTTTGAAATGATTTAATTGGAAGCACAGTTTTTCTTCTTATAGTTTATCTTTTAGTCTGGTTTCCCTGTTTTTTCTTGAATGTATTGACTTACAGTTTTTAGATTAGTAATTTAGGTTCTTTTAAAAAATGAGCACATTATTTTGAAGCACAAATAAACTACTAATACTTAGCACAACATTTTCAAATCAGAATTAAGCCCCATTCATTTCTGGAAAGAGCCAATGAAAAGAGGCATAGTGGTCGTTTTGTGTACTTTAAAAATTTAGTCTTGTTTGTGATTGCATTTCCATTTCCATGTACCTTGCATGTTTACCCCAGTTTGTGGAGAGACTTAAAGACACCAAGTAGTGATCTTGTAGAGGAACCCTTTGTAGGTTATTCAAAAGTTTATGAAGTGTGCATCAGTTAAAAATATTTTTTTTACCAAAGTTTTTTGGCAGCCTGATGGATGTCCCTGGGGAGCTTATTTCAAAATGTTGATTAGGCTGTTATTGATTAATTTTATGATAACAAAGCTGGGTAAGCTGGCTGAAGTTTTTCCAGCCATTTTTCAGTTGTTCATATACAAATGATCTTAATGAATCTTGAGTACTGTTTTTGAAATAAACTTAATAATATTATAATACTTTGGGGGGAAATGTACTGCTTCTTTTGAAAAAACTCTCTGAAATCATTTCAATATTTGTTTTCTCAGAGTCTGGCACATCTGAGGTGTTTAGTATATGTTTCTTGAGTAAATTGGATTGTCCTCTTTGTTTCTAACTGGTATGGTGTTGAAACATTTCAAATTTGATTAAGTGGGAGGGAAAGAAACGTGGAGCACCTGTGTGTCATGAACTTTCATAGCTGCTTTATATGCAATCATCATAGAAAGAGAAACTAGAGACTGGCCTAGTGTTCCATTCTTCTAGGCTTTTAAATTTTCGTTTTTATAAATAATACCTTTTAATACCAAATTTTAATTCAATGTCAATTTTTGAAGGTCAATAAATATCTTTAGTGAGATTGCTGTTGAAGATATTTTGAGTCATAATTAGAAAGCCTTTCCCTCTATGTTTTCTTCTTGGGCTAGTATAGTTTTATTTTTTACACTTAGATCTCTTATGTATTTGGAGTTTATTTTTGTGTATGATGTGATGAGGGGGTCTAATTTTGTTTTTGTCTAACTGACTGTCCAGTTGTTCCAACACTATTTATGAAAAGACTGCCTTCACCTAAGTGAAGTGAGGTGCTATCTTTATTATATACTATATTTTTATATGAAGCTGGATCTTTTTTATTGGTATCTCAGTAAATTAATAAATTACCTTAGGCAGAACTGACATCTTGATGATGCTGAGACATCGCAACCAGGAACAAGGATATAAAGCTGTGTTTGCATTCTCAGAAGCATGTCTTGAAAAAATGCATTTGGGAAATTTACACTGCCACTTTTGAGAACACTTGTCAATTCAGTAATTTTTGTAGACTCTTTGATTCTCTGACTATAATTTGATAAATAGTATATGAACTTATATCCTAATGAATACTAACAGCCATGTTGAAATGAGAATTACTTGAACAAAATGTTCTCGCCATTGAACTTTTTCTTTAGATATGTCAATGGAAGAATTTTTCTTAATTATCTCTAATTCTTGAAAGATTAATGACATAACATTTTATTTTGATTAACTTTATGTTAAAGTAAATGTTATAATTTGAAAGTTGGCTCTTCTCATTTTCTTCAGCACATTACAGCAGACAGCTATATTCCATGCCTTGCCGACTTGTGCAAAGCACTGTGGGAAGTTATGCTGAGCTATTATAGGACTATGGAATGGCATGAAAAACATGACAATGAGGATACCACTTCTACTTCTGGTAGGAAATTACTTTGATTTTTTGTTTTTAATTGTGTTGTAAATATGCCATATTTCTGGAGTAAGGTGAAAGAAAAGGAAGAGCCATTCTTTTAGAATTTCAGGGACTATAGTGACCATAAGTTAAATGTGTTACCAAAGAAAGTGATTCAGCTTCTATAAAAGCTCCATTACCTTTGGAGATTAACTGGGCCAACGGACTTCTTAAGTGACAGAAAGTACCAGTTTACAGGAACATGTGTCAATAGCTGTAAGACTGAATTATTAAGAAAGGGCTTTTATTTATATTTTCATATATTAGTTGTAAACTAGATAAGACATTGATCTGTCCAAATTTACTGTAAAATTAATGCTAATTGTTCAATAGTGTGATGAAGACCTGGGGGTGGGGCAGGTGTGGGGTGGAAGGGGTCAATGGAGTAAAAAAGGGGACATCTGTAATACTTTCAACAATAAAGATAAATTTAAAAAAAATTAAATCTATTTTGCTAATTTTCAAGTTGTACTAATAAAGCTAGATTCTAAGAATTAACTATACTGGTACTTTTCTTCCTGAAAGTATAGCAGGACTTAAAATTTTCATAAAAAAATGATGTTTAAAATGTTTGTCTTTAAATGGAAAATACAACTTTAAATGACTGTGCTATAGTCAGCTAAATAAAGAACAAATCTTTGAGAAATTATATTAAGTATTATATTTAAATTACTTTATTTGTATAATATATCTAAAATGATTATCCTTGAACAGTAACTAAGATTAAATATTCAGAAAACTTTAAAAATTAATAAATGACTTTATTAGCATTTTTTTAAATATGGGCAAAATAAATTATTAGTGCACTACTTTTTTATATTACGTACAATTTATTGTAGGTCGTCAATCAAGTTATTTTAGGAATTTCTACTTCTGAGGTGCTTGATTTCTGTGGTTGGGTGGGTAGAGTAACACTAAATCTTACTGCTTGATTAAACATATGATTTTGGTAGTATAGAAAATGTAAGTTTAATATTTGTGTTGACTCACAAGAAGTTCACAAATATAGAGAGCAAAAAATAAGAGGAAAATTCTATGGAGGGATTTTCATCCTTTTAGAAATACTGTCAGAGATGAGGGGTGAAGGAAGGGAAAGAGAGGGAAAATGGAGAAAAGGAGTGGGTGCTGAACCAGAGTTCTAGATCAGTCTATTTTAAACTAATTCCTATACTCTCATCCCTGTGCTGTCTTGGAGCAGTGAACTTTGTAATCAGATACTTGGCTTCAAATTTTTACTACTATTCACTAAAAGTGAGAGCGTGAAGAAATTACTTTATCTTCTCCAGGTCTCAGTTTGCTCCTTAAAATGATAGGTTAAAAAGCACACAAAAGAAAACATCCCTTGGAGTTACTGTAAAATTTATTTATTGATTGATTTGAGAGAGAGAAGCATTGATTTGTTGTTCCACTTATTTATTCATTCATTGGGTGATTCTTGTATGTGCCCTGACTGGGGAGTGAACCCTCAACTTTGGCATATCAGGACGATGCTTTAAACAACTGAGCTACCCGGCCAGGGCTTCCTGTAAAATTTAGAGAAAATGTAAAGTGCTTATACTGTTTGTTGTTAATATCATCAAAGGAAATGGATCAAGAAGTAATCATAATAATAAAATGTACATAGGCCTTAAAAAAAACTATCACTTTACTTGGGGAATTCCTGGGCTTACTGGGATTCCAGTTTTCCACAAAATATATATGTTTTGGCAACCTTTTTTTTTTCTTCTAGATGTGGAAATTATTAAGACATTTCAGCACCTCTTTTTCCTTTACTAGTACATTATTTAAGGAGAGACCAAAGGAAAAGGAAAGGTTTGGAACAAAATTAACACATACTTAGATGTAAGATAAGAGTTTAGGGGACAATATATTCCTCATAACGGTGAAGCCTGTGTTTTGCTTCAGGCTTATAGTTTACATGTACAGTTGACCCTTGAACAACACGGGTTTGAGTTGCTTGAGTCCACTCCACAGATTTTTTTCAGTAAATACATATAGTGCTGTAAATGTATTTTCTCTTATGATTTTCTTTTTGTTGTAAGAATCCAGTGTATAATACATATAACATACAAACTGTGTGTTAATAGACTTTTATGGTATCGCTACGGCTGGCTTCTGGTCAACATTAGGCTATTAGTTAAAACTTGGGGGGTCAAATATTACATATGGATTTTCAACCCTGTTCAAGTGTGAACTATATTATGTATGTATATATGTCTACATATGTATTTTCATTGGGGTGTAGAGTCCAAACTTAAACTCCATTTGAATCTTACATACTTATTCCTTTTTGCTAAAATGACTTGAACCTAATCTGTGTATTTTAAGACTATTTAGGACTCTGATTAAATCTGGCAGTCAGCTGAAAATATCTAGGACCCTAACAAATCACTTGTTCACCTGAAAGCATTCCTTTCATATTCACACTAAGGAATAAAAATGTGGGAGTCAGTAATTTAAAAATTATTCTTCACAGAACTTCATAAAGCTGACAGTAAGGCCCCAGCTGTGGGAGTGGTCAGAGGATATTAGGCATGCGTCGGGGGCGTGGTTTGTGCTAGCCTAAGATGAGATAATATCCGCACAGCTTCGCTGTTCCCCAGTTCATTCTCACAAAAGCACAATCTTTTAAATAGAAATGTATACATTTAATATAAATGTATAATATAAATATATAAATGTGTGTATTTCCTATAAATGTGTGTATACTTGCAGTTGCTAATTTTAGGGGAAAATTTGTTTTGAAGCAGGTCATTGCTTTAACCTGTTGAACTAGACATTGTTAGATTATTTGTCTGATCTTATGTGTAACGTACTTAACATTTCAGGTTCTAAGTTTATCTGTCTTAATAAATGGATTCAATACTAATACCTATTTTTTGACATTGTTTTGGTTGTATTAATATTAAACATATTTTCTATATATACATAGACTTATAACAATAATGAGTCCAAATGAGATTTCTTTTGAAAACAAAAATGTTATGAAGCAAATAAAAAAAATATATGATTTTTTATTTTCAGAAGGGAGTAATATGATGAGTACTGAAGAAGCTAATTTTGATATTGGCTACATTAAAAAGAAATTAGAACATGGACTTACACGAATATGGCAGGTTTGGTTAAAAAATTTTTTTTTTACAAAAGCAATAGAAACCTTCATGTCAAAGTTGTTTTAGAAATTCAGTGTTTAAATTTTCTGTATTTATTTGTATTTCTTGCATTTTAATCACCTTTAGTTTTTCTTTGGAATAAGTCTGTCATTTAATTTAATTTCTATAATTTAGTTGACAGTTCAATTTAGTTGATTACACATGGCAGCAGAAAAAGTTTTTTAATTGGAAAATCTCCATTGGAAATATTTCTGTTTTCCTTAATTACACTTTTTATTTTAGTGTCCTAGCAAATGTATGCTTTCCAAAAGAAATTGCTTCCTTATTGAGATACTCTGTTTATTTTTATTTTATTTATTTGTGTTTTCTTTCCTTTTCTATTAATTTTAAACTAAATTAAAAGGCCAACTACTGGGCTGGAATCTGATATAGAATGAAGAATTTTTTTCTAAGTCAATGATTTTTATGCCTTGAGGGAATCTTACATGTTCATTGGCTAAATGTATATCTTCTTCACTTTTTCTCTTGCAGTTTAGTAGCTCAATTTTTGTTATTTGATATTAAATTTGTTAATTTGTTAAAATTTGTTACTTTCTAGATAAAAGTGTAATTTCTTTGGAAATAGCTGAGGTTTCTTTTTTGTTTTGTTTTTGGACTTCTTTGAAGGTTAGAAGACTATAGATCCTTTGACCATGTATGGTCTTTTAAAATCTATTTTTTATTTTTCTAATAAGGCTGATTTTTAGTTTGACAATCTTTTATAGGATTTCTTTTGAAAAAGTTATTTAGGTAAATACAGGGTGGGACAAAAGTAGGTTTACAGTTGTGAGTGCATGAAACACAGAATTTATTCTTGTATTATTATTTATTATTGTATTATTTTCCATACAAACAACTGTAGTCCTACTTTTGCCCCATCCTGTATATACTGAAACATAAATTTTCTCAAGAATCACATAGCAACTATAATTTAGTGCTCTTCCAGCTTTTGATAACTTTACATTGAATATGCTATTTGAATTTTTAATTTAATATATAAAGTATATTCATGTGTTAGTTGTAAGAGCTTCAACTTCTGTATTTTCTCAGGATCAAATATGAGTTGTTTCTGATTCAGTTTAATGGACTCTAATTGTGCTTAGTTGAAATTGTAGAATTTGTAGGTTTTCTGGTAATTCATTGCATTTTGAAATATTGACCTGGCATTTAACATAGTTAGTTTCCATTCAGTCAGGCAACCTGATGTCATTCCTGATGTAGGAAAATCTATTAAAATACAGTTTGATACAGCTATTGTTATTTAAACATTTGGCTAGTTTAATAAAAGTTGTCATGCTTTTGAATAGAGATTATTGTGTTATAGGTTTCAAGCTTTAGACTATCTTCATCTCCACCACTCTGAAGTCCTTTTTGCATCCCTAGCCCAGATCCTTAACTAGTTCTAGAACAGGACTTTGCATACTTTAGGAACTCATTGAATATTTTTAAATTGAAATCACAAGGCTCAATGCAATTGAAAAAAGCAAAAGCTCTGAAAAACAAATTTTTTTTGATAACACATTTAGCAGGCAAAACCTGACCTGAATTGAATTTGTTTGGTACAACCTAACCAGTATTATCATTAGGTTTTTTATAGTATTTATTTATCCCATTAGAGTAAACATTCATATGTTATAGCAATATTAATGTGTTTTATTTTGGGATACTGCCCCAGACCACACTGGGGGTGTTATATAACATATGCTATATGTACCATAATACATTTCTAACATCTGAAATCCCAAGTTGCAAAGCACAAGTGATCTTGTGACAATTTGTAGACATCATAAATATATAACTTCTAGAGATAATGATAATGATTGGAAAGCATAAGGGGATACTTTACCTTTCTGACATAAAACTAAACTCAAAATCATAATCATTTTGATTTTTGATATAAGTTTTTAGAATTTTTTGGCAGATTTCCCATGCATTTTGACTCAAAAACAAAGGGGGGGGCTATATAAATTATGCTGTGCGGAAGACACTATTCGTGGATTTGAGAACATGGTGGTGAACCCATGGTCCTTGACTTCATGGAGCATAAAAACTAACCATATGGAACTTTTGGTCTTCCAAGATTTTTTTTTCATCCTTAAATATTTGATATGTGAAAAATAACATTTTTTAAAATGCTTATTATTAATGTCTTTTTACTCCAGAGAAATAGGATTACATTATTTATACTTTTTGTGAATTTGAAATTTAATTTACATCCTAGTATACCACCCACTTTTAAAATTCTTTGGGCATTTGAAAAAGAACTCTGTATTTCTTCTTTTTGTTGGTAACTAGGTTCTATATGTATTTAAAGAAAACTTATTATTAATTATATTATTTTAATCTATGTCCTTTTATTGTTGTTTTGTTGGTCTGTGCAATTCTGAGGGAGGAGCTTTAATCTTCCATAATGACTGTAGTTTTGTCAGGCTTTTATTTCTAATAGCTCTTGTTTTTTTATACCTGGATGCTATGTTGATTGATGCTGCAGTACTAATAACCACTTACCTTCTTTGTACATAATTCCCATTATTAATTTTAAAAATAGTTCTTTGTCCTAAGGCTATGAATTCTAATTTGTTTTATTATCACCATTGTTATCTTATTCTGTTCATATTTTCACTTATATTTTCAATATGCAGATGGTTAAGATTTTTACGGGGTCAAACTATTGACCTTTGTTATTTGTGACTTATGTTACATTTATTTTATAAATGTTTTTTCCTTTGTAAAGCTCAGATAAATGTTCACCTGGTAATTATATTTATCTAAACTTTGGATTAATTTCTATATCCCTAATACCTAGAGTAGTGCCTAGAACAATTAATAGGTACTCAGATTATTTTTGCTTATTGAATTTTTAATCCTTTGAAAACATACAAAAACATATTTAGTACATTTCATATTCCTTTTGACATATGATATAAAGGACACCCCCCTCCCAGAATCTAGTTCGTTTTTCCTTGACTAGTTGCTGGATAATCTTTTTCTTCCCTCTCTATTTGTGACTCTTCTTTGTAGGAAGGTACGGTGAGCAGAGGAGACTTTGAAGGCAGGTAGACCTGGATTCAAATCTTAGCTTTGTTATCCACTACATTTCTCCTCTTGGGGGTAGCACATGCTTGCTCACCAGGGCTATCCTAGGGTTAACAATTATACATATGTTAATGTTCTTGTAATGATTGAAACAAATTAAATAATCAGAAACAGTGAATTTTAGTGCTGCTTATTAAGCTCTAGTGTGTATATCAGCATTATTTCTGAGTTATTCTATTACATTGATTTCTCTGTATATTGCTAGCATTCTTCTAAAAAAGATTTTAGTATGTTTAATACAGGAAGACAGATATTACAGGTCCTCCAACATTACTTATAACTTTTATTCCATCTTTTCAAAGCTTTATTTTTTTTTAAAGCAATTATTGCCTATTTATTATTTCCAGGAAATTTTAGAATAGTTATTCACAAGAAAAGTTTTGGTGTCGATTTTCGTTAGAATTTCATTGACCCTCTTCATTAATTTGAACAAATTGACATCTTTCCATTACTCAGTCACCATCCTGGTTCCTTGACTTGCAATTTATTGAAATTTCTTTTATTTTCCATTAGAGTTGTTAGTTTTTTATATAGCTCTGATATTTCTTACTAAAGTTATTTCTAAGTATATTTTTGATATCTATTTTAAATGGAATATCTCCATTTTAAGGTACTACAGCAGGTATACATGAAAACTATTTTTATATATTGTATATGATCAGTTCAATAGTTGTCTTATTAATTCTGGTAATTTTTAAATAGATTATTTTGGGATTTTTAGTTTATCAAGCTATGCAAAAATATGAAGTTTTTATCTTCATATTTTGTATGAGGATATAATTCTTATATTGCATGTGTGGATGTATGTGTTAATAGTGATGATCATAGCCATTACTGTATTATATCTGATGTTCATGGAATTATCTTTGTGATATCACCCTAAGGATACTGGCTGTTGGCCTAAATAGATATTCTTTATCAGTTAAGTACGTATTCCTGTCTCATTTTAATGTGTAACTATAGAATAAATGGTTTTAAAACTTATTTTCTATATTTTAGTTTACTTAAAAACTTTTTTTTTTTTTACAGGATGTTCAGCTAAAAGTAAAAACCTACTTGCTTGGAACTGACTTGTCTATATTTAAATATGATGATTTCATCTTTGTTTTGGATATAATCAGCAGGTAGTGTTTGAGGTCTTGTCTTAGTCTTTAATTTGATTCATTCAACAGTGATAATTAAAGGAGTCATTATTCAGTGAGTTATCATGTGTAACTCTTCAGGGAAATGAAATAATTGAGCTTTCATAATTTATTTTCTTCTGGGTTTGTATGTGAATCCATTTAAATAATTCTTCCCTTCAGATGTTTATAAACCATAATGGATTTGTGATCTTTAGAATTTCTTCAAACATCCAAATTTCATAATTTGTTATCTTTGAAAAAGATGATCTGGGCTTCCTTTTTTATTATAAAAAGGATGTTGCTGGAACTTATATAAATCTTTTTATCCAACTAGGTTGATGCAAGTTGGAGAAGAATTTTGTGGTAGCAAATCTGAAGTTTTGCAAGAATCTATTAGAAAGCAAAGTGTCAATTATTTTAAGAACTACCACAGGTAAGAATTTTAATGAAACATGAACAGACTTATTGAAATGTTGCACATACTTTTGTCTAACGCTTAGTAACCTTATAGCATTAATTGGTTTAAAACAATTACTTGTGGATTTGAAGGTATGTTCTTTGTAGCTCTTTTTAGGATGGTTCAGGAGTTTTTACCGAAAATCTTATAAAATGTTCTCATTACGTATTCATTGTCAATTTTAATATATTCTTTGTCTTGAGGGTCTCAAATTTGAGCTAATTATTGAACTGATTTCTTTATGGGTGAAAGATGATTATTGCATCAGGTTCACCAAAAGGATTTGGCCACTGTTCTAAGCCTGAATATATGTGTGAGCTAGCAAGAAAGTTAAATCAGTAGAGGCAGCACTCATGAGGGGGTGCTTGAAAGCATTTGCCTTTTAGGAGTAAGGAAGGCTTCTAGAGAAGAGGCACAATATTCAGAATGTAGCTACAAAGTGAAGATTATGTACTACATTGCTTTGCAAAACAATCACTACTAACTTTAAAAGGGGTGATTAGGAATGGTTTTGGGAAGGGAGGAAGGTGGGAAGTGATGTTCATATAGCAATGTGATTGTGTACTTAAAACAGCATTAAATGAGACAGCTAGCATATATTAGACCTTGGTAGCGGCTGTACTGTATCCCTTACATACATTTTATTGTTTCAATTGAGTTCTGTCTTTTTTTTAGTCTGCGTTTTTACCTTTTAAAATTCAGTTTTGATTTTGTTGTTATTTGGTGCCAGGGAGAGTCAGGATTTGAAATTCTGCCTTCTCTCCTTGTTTGAAGTCAACATCTGGTCACAGTGATCTTTGCCATGTCAGAAGAGAGATTATGGGACATCAGATCATTGATATATTAATTATTAATATGTTTAAGTACAAGTGTTCTCTGTTAATTGTAACCTTAAATATTTTTTTGAAAGAAAATTTAAGTCAATTCTGTACCAAAGCAGAGACTTTGAGTTTCATAATTTAATGAAGGGAATGTTTAAAAATTAAAAAAAAAATTTTTTTTAATTGGTTAAGCCTCAGGAAAACAGATGTAAGGGAACAACATGAAACCCTAACACTGCCTTTATTTATAGCTTCCTTTTTTATTAAAACTTAAGCTCTGCTAAAACACAAGGCCTAGCTTGATTTTAGCATGAAGGGGAACAGTTGGGCAGGCACTGGACTTTTAATGTTTTCACTTTGGGCTATTATTGTAGCTTTTTGGCCCTTTGTTTCCTGGGTTAACTGATGGATTTTTTTTTTTTTTTTTGTAATTGCCCATAAAATGTAATGATTATTCAGGATAGACAGAAGAGCAATAGCATTAAAGAAAGATCAGTATGACATAAGTGATTAGTGCAGTGTCAGGTACGTAATCATACTTGCTCATTTAATTCAGAAATTAAATGAGCAAGTATGATTACTCATTTAAATATATTTGGAGAGTGGTAATTCTCTTAATATTGTGGTTTAGTAAGCATGATTAAAATCTATGCTATTTAGTATAAAGCATTTGTTAGTATTTATGATTTCATAAATTCTATAAATTATTTCACTTTTTTTGGCATTGATATATGATTAACTAAGGGTTTTTTAAGTACGTGATTTGGTGAGTAGCTTTTAGTTTAGTCCCTTAATAAAAATGGCATTTTCTATGTATTTATTATTTTTGAAATATAATGAGTAATAAGAATTAATTAAATATTTGAGTCTTTTAATAAATAATGAGTTTTTCTCTTTTAAGGAGGATAAGGTATTAACAAAAGTAAATGTTTGTGTTTATTGTGTTGATCTGAATGGGTTCTCAAAGTTCATTATGATCATGAAGATCTGTAATTGTTTATATTGTATTTTATTTTCTTAATTCTTGTGTACAGTATACTTCTTACTTCTTGGAGTGTTTTTTTAATTTTTTAGAACACGGCTTGATGAATTGAGAATGTTTCTAGAGAATGAGACCTGGGAACTTTGTCCTGTTAAGTCAAATTTCAGCATCTTACAACTTCATGTAAGTGTTTCTTAGGAACAAGTAAATCTGTCTTTTATTTAGTCATCTTTAAAAAAAGATATATGGGAGAGCACGTACAAAATAATTAAAGAATAATGCCTTTTCTTCCACAGAAGTAATTAATAGCAAGGCTCTTTTACAAGAGTGATCCTTTTTGGATGTCAAACTCTGTCTATTTTTATAAGTTCAGTTTAGAGACTTCAAGAAAACTCTTTTGCTTGAGAAGAGTCACAATTAAAATAATTATTTTCTTACGATTTAAAAAGAGGTTCTACTGCTTTATTTAAATTTTACAGAAAATTCATCAGTTATATTTTGATGGTCTTTAATAAAAATGTTTGTATTTACAGAATCTTTGTCCTTTCTTAAAAGGACTAATAGGTTCTTAATTTATGCTGCAACTCATAAATTTGCCTGTAATGAAGGAATGCCTCAGAAATAAAAGAGGCGATTATAAAAAACGCTCTTAAGTATTTTTTATTAGTTAATTGATTCCTTGAATCCTTATAGAATTTGTAATCTGTAAAAATATCTTTAATTGATTTGATTTTTCCCTTGGTTGACACTGTAGAGAAATATTCCTTGTGTGATGGATTGTGTCCTACAAATACCAAGTGTCAAGATACAATGTATAAACTTAGATCTCTGTTTAGAAGGTCCAGTGTGTTTAGTTTTTGCCTTTGGAAGGAATTGCTTTCTGGAACCAATTTTCTTATTATGGACAAATGTAAAGAATACATGCTTAAAAGTTTTTTTAATAGGAGTAGTCTTTATGCTCATATTGTATAATAGCTTACTTCTATCATATTGCTTTTCTAATGTGGAAATATTAAATAACTGAAACATGTTGATTAATACCTGCTTTAAAATACAGAAAAAATTAACATTAACAAATTTTAGAATTCATATATTAAGATGATTCCTTAACATTATGTAAAATTCTAACATTGATTTTAGAATCTCTATTTAAATAATTTTGTGTTAATTTGTGTTTAACAATCCAATTGTGTGCACACATACTTTGTGTTATTATAGGACAACTTATTTTACAAGGTACATTGAAACATTCCCATCCAAGTGAGCTTTATCTCCTTCAAGGTAGTTACCTTGTAGTTTTAGTTATGCAAGATGAATAAGTTCTAGAGATTTACTGTACAAGTTTCGCCTATGGTTAACAATACTGTTTGTACACTTAAATTTTTTTTAATAGGATAGATCTCATGTTAAGTGTCCTAACCACACAAAAAGTGATTACCTCAAAAACTGTTCACAGATGAGAGAGTGTTCACTTGACACATGGATTCCTGTAGATTTGATTTTTTTTTAATTATCTCATTAATTTATAGTCGCCTCTTGTTTAGAATTGTAAAAATAATGGCATGATTTTTAAGCAGCATGATTGATCAGATCGAACGTATAGTTGTAATTTAAAAAAACAATAAACATCATTTGAAACTTAAGCCAATGTAATTTTTAAGAAAATTACCATTGAATATGAAAAATTTTAAACTTGGGATTAATATTAAAAATTAAAAGATATAAGAAAAATATATAGTACATTTTTATTTAAAATCATCAAATCAGTAATTTTGTAATTCAAAGGAACTTTAGGGATTATTCCATCTCTTCCTCTAATTAGCTGCATGATGTTCAACTTTGCACTGAACCCCTCCACACAGCCTCAGTTTCCTCATCTGGGAAATGCATGATTTGGACTGGATGCTACAACTCTCTTGCTTTAGCATTTGTGATTCTCTCATCCTGGATGACTCTCTTATTTTACAGGTGAGGAAATTGAGGCACACAGAAACCAGGTGACATTCCCAACATTATATAGGAAGTTAATGGAATGTAATGGATTAATGGCAAGCTAGGACCATAAGATGTATCATCTGACCTCAGCGTGTGTATTTGTGCTGTCTGCTTCTTGGTATATGAAGAGAAGTAAATGAAAGTTTATAGACAACACTATAACAAAGAAAGATATCTCCCTCAGGCTTTGTTTTTGATGACTTTGTATAGAGTATTTTAAATGGTGCAAGCATATAAGTTTGCAAAGTGTTTACAGTTAGTTTTAAAAAAGACTATTGGTTAAAACCATATCCTTCCAGTGCTTTTGCTGCTATGTTAAATTTTTAGAATTATTCAAATTTAAATTATTTTCAAATTTTTTCTGTGCAGTTACATAAAGTAAGTCAAAAGTAGTTTGATGCAGATAACACTGTTGTGATACCAGCAACTGAATTTGTCTTTAGGAAAACCTTTGAATATGTATTTCCAAGTTTGTGTTTTCTGACAACTTGCACAACTTAAAAGTGAACAACCCGCCCGGCTGGGTGTGCCTCAGCGGTTGAGCGTCTACCTAGGATCCAGGCGATCGGGGTTCAATTCCTGGTCAGGGCACATGCCTAGGTTGTGGGCTTGATCTCCAGTCGGGGGCATGCAGGAGTCAGCCAGTCAATGACTCTCTCATCATTGATGTTTCTCTCTCTCTCTCTTTCTCTCCCTCTCCCTTCCTCTCTCTGAAATCAATATATATTTAATAAATAAGTAAATAAATAAATAAATAAAAGTGAACAACCCACAGAATTAGAATTAATTTCCCCCCCACTAACTATATGTACATTGATGGAATGTCTATGTACTTGAATTGTATTGTTTCTAAAAGGTATCTGGCTCCTTTTCTAATGTCTAGGAATTTAAATTCATGGAACAGTCTCGTTCCCCATCAGTTTCACCTAGTAAGCAGCCAGCCTCAACCTCCTCAAAAACAGAGACATTGTTTGAGCAGTACTGTAGTGGTGGGAATCCATTTGAAATTCATGCCAACCACAACGATGAAGAAACAGAAGATGTTCTGGCTTCTAATGGGGTATGTGGTGTTTTTGAAACATATTGTGGAACATTAAGTGAGGTTTTCTTATTGAGAAGTATTCTACCCTTTGAGCAAGGTAATTGGCGAAGTTTACTTATTCCTTCACCACCCGCGTTCCTGCCTGTACACTCGTGTTATGCTACTTGTACAGGTCATGGTTTTACAGTGTGCCTTATTGACATTGTCCTTTTGAATGATAAATATTGCCTGTATGTTTGCTTTGTGTTCTTATTAGACTACTTTATGTTCTTATGTTTATTGAGTAGGAGTATAGGTTCTTTATTGAATATTTATATGATTTGTTGGATACATGGATGCATGAGGCAATATATCATCTGCACTTTTTTTTTCAACTTTACTTTTGGGCAACTAAGAGTGCCATTTTGTTCTATATCTTTTTACGGAGAGAAGGTAATGTTTTACTTAGTTATTTGATAGGTTGGTTTTTGGATTTAGAAGTATGATGTTTTAATAACACTTTGAGCAGCTCAAAAGACAATATAAAGTAGAGGTAGTGTGAGTTAATGGAAAGTATTTGAAGGCAAACTTTCTATTGCCTCTGTGGCTCATCACAAATTATTTTAATTTTGTATCCCTCAGTTTCCCTGTAATTGCAATGAGGGAATGCTTACTTCAGAGTTGCCTACAGGATGTTTTCATAGTATAATATTCAGATGGGTCCTTCTGATCTTCATCATTTTCAGAGGGACCCAGTATGATTTTTATTTTAGGTGTGGTGAAGCTGAAATTGAAAACTGTTTAGATTTGAAAAAAATCTGTTAAATGTGTCTCTGTATTTTAGTTTTGGTATTTTTGTGTTTAGTGAAGATGTAATTTTAAAAAATATTGCCATAAAAGTACACCATTATCACTTTTTAATCAGGAAGTAGTAGTTATTTTATAGTAAATTATATTTTCAATGACAATTTATTGATTCTTTTTGAAATTTTGCCTTGGTAGACCAAACGAAAAGGAATTAAAAGTCATACCAATATTTTTGAAATAATATCCCTCTACACTGGTGATTTTTTTTAAACTTAAATCTCACATAACACTTGATTCTCATTGTTTGTTACACTTGTGTTCTTTAAAGTCACCATGAACCCTGAATTAGCAAACAGAACCTCTGCTCTTAGGAGAAATATGGGATTAGGTACCTGCGAGCCTCTGGTCACACAATTTTCATATGTATTTTTGTTTTATGTGTGTTTTTGCTTACACCTAATTTAGTATATGCTGCTGATTCATTAACATTGAACTCCTGGCCAGCAGCACTATAACTCATGCCTGAACGAAGCTTATCTAACACGTGTTTTTGCAGTAAGGTACACTACAGTCCTCTTGTACTTAGGAACACTAGACAACACGTAGTATCATGCTTAGGGGCCATTCTAAGCAGTGAAATTACCAGCAAAAAGCACACAAAAATTTAAAAATGTGGCATTAAATGGACTGCGAAAGGACACTTGTTTCCAGTAAGAGAGCTGATACAAGAAAGAGGAGTGTCACCTTGTTTGCCCTCAACCTAAAACATGCATGTTGGGTGACCCCAAAATTTTGCCACTCTGCCCATATCCATGAATGACCATGAAACTATCATGAAGTATTATTGTTGGGTTTACAAAAAAATTTTAGTGAGTAGGAAAATTTGCAAATACAGAATCCTTGAAAATGAGGATCTATTATACTGTGGAATCATGAAGCCCTGTTTTTATAACCAGGAGACCTGAGTTTGTGTAGAACACCCTCTGAATGCCATCAGGGCTACCTGTGTACATGTGGGGGAGCATACCTGTAATGCTTGTCTGCAGTTCTTAATGTGTGAGGTAATCTTTCCAGGTACAGCAGAAGTCCTGAGAGTCAGGGTCCACATCTTAATATGGCTGTCATAATGCTTTAGTCTCAAAAAACAGTTGGTGAATTAGGTTAACTTCTTTCTATGTCCTCATTATACTGGTCTCCTGAGCTGACAGATGAGAATAAACTTCCTAATAGAATTGTTATGAAAACTCAGTGAGATAATTCATGAAAGCACTTAGCACAGTATTTGGTTAAAACTTAAAAATGTTAGCCATTTTTTAATCATATTAATTTATAATATTTGATGCTGCTGCTGCTGCTTCCTTTGCTGTGCATGGACCCACTTCTCTCCCATCCTGGCCTTGGCCAGTAGTGCCATAAAGATGATGAAAATGTTAGGAAGGTACCCTTTCTTTAAAAACCCCACTATTTTTGTCTTTGGTCTCAGTAGTCCCTAGTTGCTAAACCTGATTTTTTAAGTTGCCTTTGGAGTTAAATCTCACTCATCATAATGAATGAGATAGAGCATTAGCATGTGTGTTGCGTGTGTTTATTAAGCTGCATTAGTACTTCGTGTGCCAGAACGTGTACTCAGCCTCTTTACAACGAGTTAGCAAGTTGGAACTTGGGATGAAACCACTTGGAAGAAGAGAGTATTTTTTTAAAAATCACATGAACAGTCTTTTTTTTCCCCTAAGGCCTAGCAGGATGTTTATTTTCTATATATACATATTTGATTTCTTTGGGATGTTTACAAGCTTTTGTAGGTATAGTGTTTATATTTTAGTTTTCTTTTTTTTTCTTTTTTTTTTTTGAGCTGGTTAAGGTAGGATAATAAAGAAGAAAATGTAGTTCGCCTGAGTGTGGCTCAGCATTGACCTAGGATCCAGGAGATTGCCGTTCAATTCCCCATCGGGGCACATGCCCAGGTTGTGGGTCCCATCCCCAGTCAGCGTGCAGGAGGCAGCCGATCAGTGACTCTCTCATCATTGATGTTTCTCTCTCTCCCTCTCCCTTCCTCTCTCTGAAGTCAATAAAGATATTTTAAAAAAGAAGAAAATGTAAGGATAATATGATTCTTGATGGTAAAATGAAAGCTAAGTTATTAAGAATTTTCTTCTATAACTAGTCTTTATAAAATTGGATAATTTTATTGTGTTGAAAGACTCCAACAAAGGTTGGCTTTTCATACCCATTGTTGAATACTCTGTGTTTTCTTCAGTATGAATCTGATGAACAGGAAAAAAGTGCCTATCAGGAGTATGACAGTGACAGCGATGTTCCTGAGGAACTAAAGCGCGATTATGTGGATGAGCAGACAGGCGATGCTCCTGTGAAAAGGTAAAATTGCTCTTAGGTTGTATGGTGCTCTTTGCATTTTATGTTGACACTTAACATATAGGATTTTCTTTAGGTAAGAAAAAACAAAACTCAGAATTAGCCCGACCAGGCGTGGCTCAGCGGTTGAGCGTCGTCGACCTGGGATCCAGGCGATTGGGGTTCGATTGCCGGTCAGGGCACATGCCCTGGTTGCGGGCTGCAGCCGATCAATGACTCTCTCATCATTGATGTTTCTATATCTCTCTCTCCATCTCCTTTCCTCTCTCTGAAATCAATAAAGATATATTAAAAAAAAAAAAAAATCAGAATTAAAAGTTTCTGTTGGTTATAAAATCATGTGACAGAATTTAATATATTTTTAAAAATGATTCTCAAAAGGCTTAAAATGTAGTTTTTTCTTTGATATTGGACATCATCAAAGAGCTCTTAATTTAGAGATCAATGGTTTTTGCAGAAAAAAACAAACTTTCGCTTTATATGATCAATACTGCCTTTGGAGGCAATTTATGCTTCATATAGAAAAGAAAACCTCTGGGAGGAAAGTGGTCATTTTTTGTATGTGGAGTTGCTGCCCCAATCTAGTAAATACAGAAAATGTCCACTTATCTTCCCATGTCATTTACATTCACTATCTGAGCCTTCTGTTAGGCTCCCTTTTGTTCTTGTGTTTTGCTTTAAGATAAACTGTCCTCTTCAAAAACTTGGAGAATTAAATAAGATGTTTTTGACACCTTCTCCCAGTTAAGTGGACCTAATTCTGATATATAAGTGAATTAATTTCATGACCATCAGGCATTTAATAATCACAGTACATGTATTTTTAATGACAGATTTAAATATACTCTTCTCTATGCTTTACCCCCAAAGTACCTAGTTATATTTAATTGATTTGAAATCTCTCCCCTCAAAAGTGAAAAACTGCCCAGCGGGGCGTGGCTCAGCGGTTGAACATCGACTTATGACCCAGGAGATCGGGGTTCGATTCCTGGTCAGGGCACATCCCAGGTTGCGGGCTTGATCCCCAGTCGGGGGTGTGCAGGAGGCAGCCCACCAATGACTCTCTCATCATTGATGTTTCTATCTCTCTCTCTCTCCTTCTCCTTTCCTCTCTCTGAAATCAATAAAGATATATTAAAAAAAAAAAAGTGAACAACTCATGTAGTTGTGGATATTTTAATTGGGAAAATTTGTTTCCATTGGTTTTCACATATGTATAATATTTAAATATCTACATCTGTGATCTATTATGAACCGAATACAACTATTCTGTTGGATGTTTTGGGTATATTGTATCCAGAGGACAGCTCTGATTAAATTGAAATGAATAAGTAAGATAGCATCTGCCAGTTTATGCCTATATACTTGCATTTTTGGTAGGGTTATGTAGTCTCCTACACTGTCCTACCTTACTCCTGATAAGTATGAACAATGTGAACTACTAACTGCAGTCAGTCAGTTAACGGTTACTATCAATTCCAATTTCTAAGTGTCTCTTAATTTATTAAAATTCTTTATATTTCACTGTGCTATCCTAGTTCACGCAGAAATCATCTCTGTGCCAGATTATTGAGTCAGCCCTCTTACCTTACTTAGCTTCCTACCTCTAATATTGCCACTTTCTAATACATTCTTGGATACAAATTTAGATTTTTTTTCTTATATACAAATTTGATCATGTCCTTTACCTACTTAAAATTTTAATGGCTCACCACTGTGTGCAATACAAGTTTCATAGTTATTAGGTTTGATTGCTTTTGGTGACTTGGCCTTTACTTACTTCCTTTTTTGTCACTTTGCCCACTTGTCCTCCATGCTAGCCTTGTGAACGCTGTATGCATCTCTGAACATGCTCTGTTCTCTCTTACCTTTGACCTTAGTACACATTGTCCCCTTTTTTCTGTACTTAACGTTTCACTTCTACTTCCCCTTTGAATCTAGACCTCACCTCCCAACCCCAGACTCGACCATCATATCTTATACTTACTTCAGATTGTAAGTAGGGTATTTTTTTTTTATACTTATATGTCTGAAAATGGATGCTTGGTACATCTGATGTGTAATTTCCCTAGAACATCTGGTGTTTTGTTTTGTTTTTAATCCTCAACTGAGGATACTTTTTCCATTGCTTTTTGGAGAGAGTGGAAGGGGGAGAGAGAGGAACACCGATGTGAGAGAGACACGTCAGTTGGTTGCCTCCCAACCGGGGCTGGGGATTGAGCCTGCAACCAAGGTACGTGCCCTTGGCTGAAATCGAACCCAGGACTCTTCAGTCCACAGGCTGATGCTCTAGCCACTGAGCCAAACTGGGTAGGGCAGAACATGGTTTTTTAAAGTGACATAGTTTCTATTAATGGTTGATAATTAATGTCTTAGAATCAAAGAAATATAGTACTTTATTTTTTTGCTCACTAATTTCTTTTCCCCTCTGGACTGTAAGCTCTGTAAGAACAAGAGAATAATAATCTCTATATCCCCACCTAATACATGGTAAGATTTTCAATAACTAGTTAGTGAATGAAGGGTAGAGCCTAAGCTGGATAATTTTACTGACTTACTACTTGACAACCCTAATTACAACTCTTTCGTTTCTCTATATTAAGCTTTTCTCGAGAAACCCTAAAGAGCAGGAAGAAATCAGATTACAGTCTAAATAAAGTAAATGCACCCATCTTAACAAATACAACACTGAATGTAATAAGACTTGTCGGTAAGTAGCTACACCTTTTTTAAGAAAATTATTATAGCAGTGAAATTAGCCTGCTTTTGTTAACAAATGGTTTTTACTTTTTAAAGTTTGAATTATTTATTTATTTATGTATGTATTTATTTATTATTTTTCACAGTATTACAGATGTCTCCCATTTCCCCCTTTGTCCCTTTCCACCCAGCCCCCCCTACCCCAGGCCTTCACCACACTATTTTCTGTCCATGGCCTATGCATATATCCAGTGCCCACTGCAGTGAAGGATTTAAGATTGTCATATGTCAGTGTTTTCTTATCTTAATTGTTCCAAATAGTATAATAATAATATTAATGTCAGTTTTCAGTTAACTACTTAGTAAGTGTTTGTGTCTTCCACTTTTTCTAAAATATCCCAATTAATTGAAATGTAATGAAAAATTCTTTATGTGAGGTAGAGGTACATGTAGGGTGATGATAGTACCAGTTTTACATTTATACAATATTTTTTACCTAATTGCTCCATTGATCTTCACCATCTTCCTGTCAGATCGGCAGAATGAATTGTGATTCTCTGGCATTTTCAGACACAAGTTTTCCATAAGCCTCAGGAAGTGTAGTTCTTACAGATAAGACTTTATTGATGATTGTATAGAAGGCAAAAACATAAAGAAATGCCATATTTAAAGCATTTAGGTTTGAAGATAATGTTGACTTTTTTAATGCCAGCATTTCAACATTGTATATGCTATCTCAGCCTTCAACTCTCACAAGTAGGGCTGCACATTTGACAAATAAGTTATAGAGATATTGTCTCAGATTAAGTCATCTACACTAGTTAGGAATTTTAGTGGTTTTCTATAAAATTCACTGGAGATGATAACTTCTTATAGTTTGATTATACTTTAGCTCTGCTAAAATGGTCTGTATTCTTGAAGATAATTTCTACATTTCATTAAGGAGTAGGATAAAGTAGACAAAATGGTTTTTAGAAGTCCCACTTTCTTTAGGGAAAATAGTACAAAAGTGTAATAGTGAACTGAGAAGAAAAAAAGATATATATTTTTATGACAGAAAAATGGCAGATTCTGAAGAGCTAGTTTATGGCTGATTGTTGCCAAGGAGATTAGTTTTTCTTCTTTGTCAAAGAGAGCTAACTAAGTATAGAGTCATGAGTTATTCTCTGAAATTTATAGAATTGGAATTAGAATTGGAAGGGTTCTGAGAGGCCATCTCATATAAATTCCCACAAAATAAGGATTTCTCTCTCTAATGCCCCTGATACGTATTGGCCATCTAGCCTTTGTTTTATGTCTCACAGTCACTGGAAGTATATTATTTTGCAGGATTTCTCATTCTACTGTTAGACTGGTTGAATCGGTAGAAATCTCTTCCTATGGCAAACCAAAATACCTCTCTCTGTAATTTTGTTGTCTTAGTTCTGTCCTTAAAAGCAAAAAAGCCTACTTTTTTTCCTCCTATTTTTCCATGCGGTCACTCTTCAGATCTATGGTGATAGCTGCACTGTTCTGCCTTCTTTTATCCCCTCCTCCCAAATCCACTCTTCAGGGTGAGTGTGCCCAGTTCCCTTACGTGGTCCTCACTGGTACAGATACCCTTGTCATCCTTCTCAGCCTCCTGGACTCGCTAGTTTTCAGTGTCTGAACGTGCTGTTTGAATTGCAGTTTAATGGAGTCAGCTTTCGCTTAGTTTTGTGGAAGTAACTAACCACCCTAACGCCAGTGGCTTTCAACCACAAAGGTTTATTTTACCATGAGGCCTATCGGCCTGCTCTTCTTAGTTCAGCTCCTTGTGTGTCTTCACTCTGAGATGCGGGCTGAAGCACCAACCTGATCACGGAGAGAAGAGCAAGAGCTGAACCATGTTGTGGGAAATAGTACAATCAGATACATTAAGTGGTTGTTTATGTATTTTTTTAACTTAGCTAGTTCAAAAATGACTAGAGGGTGTCATGTTGCTTTTTACTCTAAAAGGCATATTCAGTAGAGTCAAATAAAATATAAGGCTAAAACAAAACTGCGGAGGGGAGAAATCATGTTTCGTTCAGTTAAATGCACAGTTCTTGGTAGGCATAAGGAAATGAAGAAGGAATGCATTCTGTTCTTCTCATTATCTAAGAAAGGGATAAAATAACAATAGAAATGTGCTGCAGGGATTAAATTCAGAAAATAGTAATAACCAGTTCTTAGGTAAGGATTGCTGATCAACACGGTGGACATTGTTTTCTGACAGTGGATTCATAGAAACAGAAAAACTGCGTTCTTCTGGGCCTGTGATATGTCAGCCCTGTAAAGCAGAGCAGTCCTGAATAGAACTTTACTCAGTGAACTGAGAATCTGACCATTGTAATTCTGGCCTTCTCCACCACCAGAACTTTTACTAGAGTTGCAATAAGGAAATAATGCCTGGTATGTCCATTTAACTTTCATGTCTTCCTATTTAGGGCTGCAATTAGGTGCTGCCATTATTTCCCCAGCAGATTGTTATGTCTGCCACTTTCTCTGTCCTTGGGACGTTCTTTATCTTCAGTTTGTACATATTCATAAAATAGAACTTAAAGGGAACCACTCACTACGGGGTCTCTGACTAGTAAATGCACTATTCTATCCCCTGTAGTTATTACGTAAGATGCTTAAAGATTATAAACTGACAAAGGTGATATCTCTTTAAAAAGTCATAAGAACAGTTGTATAAATAAGATAGATTAATTTTTGGTACTGGGAAGATGAAAGAACTAATTATTTAGTAGTTGGGAGACACATTTTAGAACATTAAAGGCATATTCAAAATGTCCTTTTCAGTGAGTATTTGTTTGGCAGATAATTAGCAGAGATTAAACAAAAGAGTGTTAGTGGGGCTTCCCAGCCCCGGGTGATACCTAAATCTGTTAGAAAAGCTCAGGGAATGTTTCCCAAGTGCAGAGGACGAATCCAAAAGCCTGACAGCTTCTTGCAGACAGAGGCAGATAAATTTTAGGGAATCTGGCATCTCTGAAATAGCCTCGTTATTCAAGGTCTGTGTCCTGGAGGCAGCTCTCACTGGAGCAGGTATGATAGGGCTGAGGCACAGAAGATAGGTTGCCAAAATCCAGGCTTGTAAAAATACAGTCCGTACAACAAAATTATTACTTTAGCAGCTGGAAAAAATACACACCAGCACATGCACCAGGATTTAACCGGAATATGTACACCTAAGGGATTTTGAGGCATAGTGTGGCTGAGATGCAATGTGTATGGTGGAGAGAACACAGAAAGAGGAGGGAAAGATCCACCACTGGCTTCATTAGTACATTCTTTTAGGTGGGGCATTACTGTTAGTTATTTTGTCACGGAGTGTTTTAAATTGAAAAGGAAATGCATGAAAATATTTTAAAATGAAAATACTTCAGGATATAAACAGAGCCCCTGACCTCCAAGTATCCTTCCTCAGAGAAAACTACTCAGTCTCTCCTCTTTTCTTTGGGAAATATTAATATGCTTTTATAAGTATATTTAATATATGAGTCTCCTCTCCTTGTTTTTTGTTGTTTTTGCTTGTTTCAAAAATTGGATCACAATACATATAGTGTTCTTCATCTGGTTTTTTAGACTTCAGCTCCCTAAAGGTTGCAGTTAAAATATCTTAAAATATTGCATATCTTAGCCCATTCTTTTTTATGATCCTATTGTATAGATGTACCGTTTATAAGTCCTTTATTTATTAGCATTTGTTTCAAGTCACTTGATGCTACAAACAATGCCCATCACAGAAAATATCCTTGAAATACAGATACAGCTGTAGGACAAATTCCTACAAATGTTTCCTCATGCTAGATCAAAGAGTTTGTACATTTTCAGTTTTGATGGACATTTGCAATTTACCAGAGAAGTTGCTAAAGAACTTACTTAAGAGGTTCTGCTAGTTTATCCAACAGTGTATGAGAGTATCTTTTCCCAGTCTCTCAGCAAGCCTGTATATCGTCCAATTTCAGATGCTTGCCAATCTGATGGGGAAAATGGCATCTCATTCAACATGTATTTAATTTGAGTGAGTTTAAGCATCCTTTAAGTATGTTTCTTTTATTGATTTTTAGAAAGAGAGGAGTAGAGAGATAGAAACATCAATGAGAGAGAAACATCAACCGGCTGCCTTCTGCATGCCCCTCACTAGGGATTGAGCCCACAACCTGGGCCTGTGCCCTGAACAGGAATGGAACCAGTGACCTCTTGGTTCATGGGTCGACAACCACTGAGCAACACCGGCTGAGCTAAGCATCATTTAATAAGCTTAAAAAGATACTTCTATTTGTGAACTACTTATTCATATTAATTGCCCACTTAAAAATAATAACGATGTTTTAATTTCTACATTAAGGAAACTAATGCTTTTCTGCCATGTGTATTGATCCACTCATTTTCAATCCAACAGATTTTTTTTTTTTTTGAGCTACTACTTTGTTCAGGCACTCTGCTAGCTGTTGGAAATATAGTCATGCACAGAACATAATCTGTATAGTTAAGGAGCCCAACATGGGAAATAACATACAAAATAAAAGGGCTGACTCACTGAAGGCTGACACACTAGCTGACTTTGAAAGATGAATAGACTCTATTGCCTTGGTAAAGGCATTCTAGCCAGAGTGAAAAGAACAGCATATGCAAGACATGATGTATTCACAGAATACAGCAGTTTAGTTTGCTGCATAGAAGCATGATGGGAAGTGGGAGATAGAAGCAGGGGAAATGTAGCAAGAAAGGTGGGCAAGAACTGGATTTCAGAGTGCCTTGTATTTCAGAGTACCCTGTGAAGCGTATGTAATGTCTGGACTTGAACTTATTAAGGATTTTAAACGGTGGAGAAACAAAGCAGATTTGTTTGTTTGTTTATTTATTTTATTTTTTTAAAAAGATTACTCTGGCCACAGTGTAAATAATGAATTGAACTGGGGTAAAGGAGAAGCTTGGAAGGTCAAAGGCTAGATGGGAGGCTGTTGAAATCTCCCAGGCAAGAGATGATGGGGACTACAG